GTATGTAGGTATGTAGGTATGTAGGTATGTAGGTATGTAGGTATGTATGTATGTATGTAGGTAGGTAGGTAGGTATGTGTGTTTGTTTGTTTGTTTGTTTGTTTGCTTTGCGAACGGATGGAAAGTGTGCCCTGGCCCCGTTCTAGCCCTTAGTTCAACATGAAGCACGCGCGCTAAAGCTCCTTTTTACCTGATTGGGCACTTGAGCCAAAAGTATATGGCATGTACCTGTATAGCAACTATACTGGGACCTCATCCCTATTGACACCCCCCACATCCGTGCTTCGACGGGGAAGGGAGATGAGTGGATGTAAAAAACCGGAGAACGAATCATGTTCTCAAAAGTGCATTGGAGGTCAACCAGTATGTCCTATTAAACTGAATTAGCAAACGATCTTGCATTCGCTTGAGAGTTGGATCAAACAGGTAATGGAGCTACAAACGGAAGACGTGCATCCACCTGTGGTATCATGCGATTACCAACGGTGTGGAACACAATCCTGTCTCACTCCCATGATGCCAAAACGGTCATCATGAATTACCCAAGATCCCTCAGTACTTGAAGTACCGGAAGTAGTATGTCGGCGTGACCCCAATGCTCAACCATTCGTGAGTTGTCGCATGTAGTCAGCTCCGACAAAGCCAATGTAGTCCTTGATGAGCTCAACGTTCCTTGGGTTTCCCCTTCGGATCTGCTCCTCAAAGAACTTCAATTTCTGTGCTTGAACATCGGATACCTCTATGCCATAGTAGCGGCATGCAACGAGGATCTCCTTTGTGACATTCTTCCGCTCTGATTTGATGGCGGGGCTAATGTCGATGAATTTGTATGGAGCGGCACTTTCGTCATCTGGTTTCTGGTAGTAACTATACCGGCTCGCTCCAAAGGTCTTCCTGATCAAGCGTCTGATGAAATTTGAGATGAATGCCAGCTTCTCGATGATCTCTTCCTGGGTCTCAGATCTTCGAGCCTTTGGATCACTCATGTTACGCCGAGTGCTGCCGACCTCTCTGAGGTACTTGTGGCTAAGCCCACAGCGGATTGCAGTGATCATCATCGGGTGAATAACGTGGGCGTGGAATTCATAAATCTGCCACGCTTCTGTTGCATACGTGTCGTTGGTCCATTTGCTCATGCCTACGACCTCGGCTCTCTGAAGGCGTCTTGGAAACCCAGTATCCGGATCATTCGGTATTATTGGCCATCTATTGTATGGAGTATCATGCCGTTGTCCATCGTCGAACTTTCGCAGTACGTCTTCACGACTCTCAAAGCAATTGATGTCGAACGTTGCGTTGGCCAAGCTCTTGATCAACTTCATCAACCTCAGATCAAATTGCTGAGTGACTGCAAAGTTGTGGTCGATGGGAATCGCAGCTTCTTGCGGTAATTCGTCAATCGCGAAGGGGAAAGGCTGTGGAAGTTCATTCCCGTACCCATCTTGAGGGACCTCCCGATATTCGGGTTCGCCTTCAGCTTCGTCCGGTCGTTCCTTCAAAATGATAGGAACTTCCTCGTCTTCCTCTCCTTCGGATTCCTCGACGTCAATGACTTCTTCGGCTGTCTTGCGTGCGTTCTTGATGACTTCATCGATGTTTGCACCCGCAGCAGAAGTTGCCTCACCGGAAGAACTGGCTGGAGCATCTCTCGGAGGTGATCGTTGATTGCGGTCCCTTGTCTCCTTGGGTACCACATGCGTGAGCTTCCCATTCGCGATCAAAACCGCTACGCAGTGCGGACATATCGTCAATCGCACATCGACTTCGCCAAGACAGTTAGGACACGGTCTTGAGTCATAGTCTTTCATTGCTCGGTGGTACACGATCTCCTCAAAGATTTCCTGCCACTCGGTGCTATCATACTCTGGGTAGACACCGCTTTCCTCGATCATGCCCAACAGCTTTGAGATTTTGGCGTCGTCCTCGGAGTAGGTATCGTCCTGAACTTCAACCGCTAAACTCTCAAGCTTTTGATAGCGTGGAGTCATGATCGGGTTTCCGTATTTGGACTCCAGAACAAGGTAGCTTCCAGGGTCGGGTTCTCTATTGAGTAACCTGATCCATTCGATCTCCTCAGGCTGTCCGGGTTCCGCATTGTCGCACTGCAACCATGCCCCTTTAACCTCATCGAAGGGAACGACGTCCTCAACCAATAGAGATCCAGTCGCTGAGATGAGAAGTCCGTACTCCTGCAGCTTCCACACCGGAATGTAGAGAACCACTGGGCGATCACTCAATGCGACCTTACGACCCAGCCAAGGTTTTCCCTTGTAGCCCTGTTCCCAGGCCCATGGCGGAAAACATGTGAAGTGGATAGAATCCCTTCCCGATGAACCGAGACCTCCTGGCACTAGCCCCCGTCGCATGATTGAAGTCAGCGCTCCAAGATTGGTAGCGTGAAATGCAGTCACCATGGATAGGGCCATGTCGTTGGTCATTCTCGATCCAATGTGGTCGATGTTGATGGTAACGTCATAACCTCCGCCGTCCGATGAGTGTGCTGAGGTTGCTCTTACGGCCACGGGAAAGCACCATCCATCGCTATGGTGTAGTCTCCCTTTGGAGATTCCCATGCCCTTGAGCTCGTCAATCCATTCCTTCTCCATCGGGTCATCAGGATCATTGAGTTCATCAGGGTGAACGCGGACCGCCAACATTTGGAACCTGATCCTCTTGGTTATGCGGAAACATTCATAGTTCTGGTCGAGGTACTTCTCCAAACGCGCCTTCTTGGTCACGATGTCTATATTGCCATAGTGATAACCGTCTTCCCAAACTGCGTTATCACCTAACAGGTCTTCCCATGACACCCATGCGCCTTCGTCGCATTTGATTGGTGTGAGTCTTCCTCCTGTCCTGAACTGGCGTCCAATTCGATGCCTCAACTTCGCTCCCAATCGACGACTCAGGGCCTGGCTCGCTTGGCTGTATTCTGGTACTCGACAGTCTGGAGTCGGATACTTGTGGTTGCCATAGTCGGAGTTCTGTGCAGCGAAAGTGACTCCGTTGATCGGTACTAGCTCAACTTTCCCGACCATTGTCATGGGGTCGATCGGCTTGTATCCCTTCTCCCTCCGTGTCGGTAGGGGATAGAATTGATGACATGCCCTTGGTTTGAGGGAACTGGAGTGCACAAATGCCTTCTCTACAAATTCGTATACCACCCTCATATCCCTAGGGCCTACTTCCGCAAGCTTCCGCCCATTGTAGGAATGTGTCCCTCCTTCGACTCCATCGGCACTTTCAATCAATGTGAACCCGTCATGGTCGAACATTGTCACGACTCTTGCTTTCAACATTTCTTTTCGTCTGAACTCGCTGTCGACCTTCCTATCTGGAGTAGGCGATGCTCTCTGCTTCTTCTTCTTAGGCTCCTCGGTTGGATGTCCGGATGGTACATCGTCGGGTGCAACCTCTCCCTTCACTCTCTTCTTCCAATCACTCAACACTGATGTGACTGTGGGTGAAGATGAAGGGATCTTCTCGCAATTGAGAGTCGTGTGTCCCGACTTCATGCAGTGGGTGCAGAACTCTGCTTGCCCGATCTTCTTCTCGAATTCGTCGATGGCTTGCAGTATTGATGTCTTCGGATCGGACATGTCAACGTCTTGCT